GCATGAGCAGGTCTGCTAGATTCAAAGAACTGAACACAGAAAGCTCAGATTAAATTCAACAGTTGTCACAAAATACTTATCAGAATAACACTCTGTGTGGCATAATTCAATGTTATGTTCAAACTGTTAATTGTGTTGGAGACACTAAAATAAATCAGAACGTAAAAAAATTGATATGTTATGTGTTACGGTATCCTTATATAACCCACTTCTACATTTCTAAAAATCGATCCTATAATGTTTCATAGGCCTCATGCAACCCAACAATGTTGCATGGCTGGTGGCTAGTCTGTGCTGGTCATGTTTCATGAAAAAAATACCTATCATGATCTGTTTCCTGCACGTCTGCAAATGAGCAGAATTAAAAGGGAGCCGTTAGTTCTTTGGCATTCACGCCATTTAATAAAACATTGAAAATTACCTATAGCTTGTTCAGTTCAGATAAGGTAACACCAGGGCAAGCATTTCAGATGAATTGGAAATATAAACATAGTTTAATTTCTCCTCTTCTCTGCATGCTTTCTCTTCTGATTGCAAGGTCCAACGACAGGGAGCCATGATGGAAGCATCCATTCACAGGATAAAGAGGTGTGGATTTAGTCATATTACATATATGTTAAATATAGGGCATAAGTATAAGTAAGATATTAGTAAAATTCCTAGGAAGTGGTAGTTTCACTTAAAAGGAACACTATAAGGTCAGGAACACAAACATGTATTCCTGACCCTATAGTGTTAAAAACACTATCTAGCCCTTAATCTGCCTCCTTGGCTGACATCATCAAAAATGCTGATCTCAGCCAATCACAATGCTTTCCTATAGCAAAGCATTGGATTGACTGAGATTGTCAATTCTGATTATCTCAGCCAAGGAGGTGTGTCAGGGGCAGAGTCAAATGCCACCCTGGCCAATCAGCATCTCCTCCTAGATATGCATTTAATCAATGCATCTCTGAGAGGAAAGTTCAGTGACTCCATGCAGTGGGTGGAGACACTAAATGTCAGTGCTGCACTGCCCCAGGAAGTACCTCTACTAGCCATCTGAGGAGTGGCCACTGGAGGCGTCCCTAGGCTGTAATGTAAACACTGCCTTTTCTCTGAAAAGACAGTGTTCACTGCAAAAATGCCTGCAGGGACTGACTGTACTCAACAGAACAAGTACATTAAGCTGTACTTGTTTGGTGACTATAGTGTATTTTCAAAGTGCAATAATTGGTTGCGTTTGGCAGTATTGCTTCTAAGAGATAACATATTATATTCAGTCAATCCCAATATACACCAACCCTACCTGAATGCAGCAGGTTATTTTCAATCAATGCTATTGAAAGTGAACAAATTTTTAAGACACTATTGTAATATGTGGTCAGATGCACACACCAGCCAAGTTTCTAAAGTGCAACGTTCTAGAAAAGCAATGGATTGGAACAAGGAGTGTGGGCAAATGCTGCGATCCTCCAATCAAATGCTGCTATCAGCAGCATTTTATTCCAGGAACGAGTTTCACTCCATTCACAAGGAGTTGGCTCCTCTAGTGACTGTCAGGAAGACAGCCACTAGACATGTATTAATTAATTGATTTTGTAATATACTTTTTATTGAGCTGTTATCGTTCTAGGCCCCGCCCCCTAGAGATGTATTTAAAGGGACACCAGACCCCTAAAACTATTTAGCTTGCCAAAATGCTTTTTGTGTGAAGAGTGTCTCTTTTTTCTTTTTCCATCTTTCAAAAAGAATTTCAATAGAAATTGGCATTTAAATATATACTGTCACTTTTCTAAATTAACCTTGTTAAACCTCCCTGGCTTTCAAGCCAACAACTGGTCCTGTTATTTCCTGGTTTGGTTAGAACAATGGAGCAAAACGCAAGAGAAAGCAATTGTTTAGAGCACCTGCCTTGCCAATTCTTACAATTACTGGCACTGAAAAAAATATGATTGTACTGCCACAGAAAATCTGGGCTGGGTTAAAAAGGGAGGGATTGCAAAGGCTTCAGATAAGAGCTCTACAGCTTTTGCAGACTGTTTTTAGACATATCCCCAATGAAAGAAATGCATAATTCGTATTTATTAAAAAGTGATTTGGACAGTGGAGTGTCTTTTTAACCCTGTAAAGTAAACAATACAGTTTCTAAAAATAAAATGACAGGACCACTGAACGCATTCCACTTTATTGATTTGAAGTGACTTTAGTGGGCCTTTAAAAAATATTTTACAGGAGCCAAAAAAGTCCAGTACACCACATGACCAGTATAATTAGAATAAATGACAATGACACAATAAACAATGAACTCCATTACTCCATTAGTAGATAAGAACCAGTACATGAATAGTGATAAGGTCCAATATGACCAAATTTTACATTAAACATAACTGAAAGTTATAGACAGAATAAAGTAACTATTCCGAAGAGGCACTCTAAGCACCATAATCACTGCAGCTCAGTCTAATGGTTATAGTGTGAAGGGACTATGGGCATCTTCCTACAGTTTTTAGCATACTGGTTGTAATTTGACAAAGACATACGCTCTTTCCAGCAGTCTTAACCCACAAGCTGTCCAGCCATGCAGGTCATATGGATTTTATACTTACATGACCAATATCTAATTTTAATTCTGTTAATGCTGAGTACTTGAATACTTCATGTAAGGATATTTATTTCCTCGTTATCGCACAGCCCCATTAAGGATCCTAGAAGAGGTAATACTTAATTGTTTTTCCAGAGAAACTTACCTGCTTCAAATTTGCAGAGACCTTTCCTCTAGTCTAGCAGAATCTTGACTCCTGTGACAAGGCTGAAAGCTGGACAACCTTGTGACCAGTCTTAAGGAAGGTGTTGGAAACACTAGAATGCCGGAATTATTGCTTTTAACACATTTTACAAAGTGGTTAGTGTCTATAATTGTATAATGTACAAAGTATGGAGAGAACATTTAATAATACAAACATAGAAGTAATCAGACCTTAGGGTGCTATCCAATACTGGTACTCCCACAAATACCAAAAAACAGTAGTTAAGTCAAAAATGAATGCACACCAAAAAACCTTTAGAAATCTCTATCTAGATTTATTAAATCAATAATAAGTATACATTGCTGTTACAACAGTCAGTGACAATATAGGCTACAGATAATAAACAAAAGTATTTACCGCAATTCACAAGCCTAATCGGGCAGAAACACGAATCAAACACAAAACATTTGTGTTTCTGCCCGATTAGGCTTGTGAATTGCAGTAAATACTTTTCTTTATTATCTGTAGCCTATATTGTGTCACTGACTGTTGTAACAGCAATGCATACTTATTATTGATTTAATAAATCTAGATAGAGATTTCTTAGGGTTTTTTGGTGTACATTCATTTTTGACTTAACTAGTGTCTATAATTTTACCATGAATGATAAACCAAAGTCAGTAGGCTTCTTATATAAAGATGAAACCCCACTTTGGATATTTCAAAGGGAAATGGTTTATAGATATATAATGGATATTAAAGCATATTGATATTTTACAAAAAGGCTACAAGTATAATATGTGTAAGTTAGTCATTGCATCAGTATATTGTTTATGTTAGACGTTATACATATATGATAGTTACCAATATCATCTTAGATACCAACATAATATAATGCTATGTAAGTAAACAAGAATAAATTACACTCTGCTACAAGTAATCTAAATACCAAACACCTGGATAGCCAAATCATTACATGAGATTCAGTTAGTAAGTTCTGCCTGACCCCTGAAGGACACAGCTTCAGAAGCTTGTCTTACACTTAATGACACAAGCAATTTTTGCATTTTCTTGCTGTTTGCATTCAACTGCAATTTGCATCTCTCTCATTTATTGCACCGACACATATTATATACTGTTTTTTAAAGGACAGAAAGAGCTTTAATTTGATGTAATATATATATATATACTAATTATAAAAAAATACAGAAAAATGCAAAAAAAAATGAAAAATGTGTGTGTGTTTTTACAGTTTTTGCAATAATTGTGCATAATTAGTGCAGGTTAAGGAAAGTAATTAAAAATAAATTCATTTAGTTGTTCTGATTTACAGAATATATAATGTGTCTGGGATTTAAGTTTTTTTTGGTAGTTACAGGTCACAAAGCACAAGGAGTAAAATAAACTTTTAATGTGGAGCGATTTTAAAATTTGATATCTTTGTCTTGTAAGTTTAATAGCCATAAATTAAAACAAAATGGCCACACAAAAGTATATATTTATATAAAGTAGACATCACAGGCTATTTACCTAGGGTTGTTTCGACACTTTCTATGTAGCCATTTCACCGCCAATCTCTGCTAATATTGGAGTAAAATTTAGTTTTTTTTGTTTTTTGGCACACAAACTTATAACAAAGAACTTCTCATGTTTATTTTGTATAGTTGGTGTGTGCTATTCCTGCACTTTATTTCGTGTTCAGCTACATCTGCTGAGTACAATGATACCCCCATTGTATGTCTTTGGCACTATTTCGCGAAGCTACAGTGCCATATAGGAGACCTGTCCTTTTCAGTATTTACAGTAGAATTTTGAGAGACGGATTTAATTGGCCTATGCTTCAATTTGGAGTATTATAGCAGTTTGAATGTTCAAAAAAAAAAAAAAACACAAAGGCCTACCATTTGTAAAAGTAAACACTCCAGGGTATCTCATATGGTGCATATTGTGCCTTAACATGCCCCCATTTTTTCACCAATATATGCCAAAGTATGTGGTAAAAATTAATTTTGAGCATTTTTTACATACGGATTGCATTTTTGCTGGGCATTTTGTATATTTCATATGTGTTACTAAGTTCAAACTCCTCAAATTATGCTCAGCTAAGTCTTCTGAGTAAAACAATATGCCCAATGTATGACCTAGACACTATTTTGTGAAATTACACTGCTGTAAAAGAGACGTGACAAGTTCAGGTTTTTAAGTGTGAATTTCCATGGAGGGCTTTGATGCGTCCCACTTTGGAGCACTTGAGCAGGCTACATATTACAACTACACCATAAAGGCATACCATTTCTTAAAGAACACATCCCAGGCTATTTCAAAAGGCATATTTTGAACCTTAGCGTGGGATAATTTTTCCGCTAGTTTGAGTACAGCAATACCCCCATATGTACCTTTGCCAGGTATATGTGGACATGGAAGGAGCACATTTAATTTAGAGGACATTTGAGACACAACCATTCCACTTAAAATGTTTATGCTGTGCCCATGTCCCATTTTAGAGTATTTTACCAGGCTATATAATCCAAATACCCCATAAAGGCATAGCATTTCTTAAAGAAAACATCCCAGGGTATTTCAAAAGGCATATTTTGAACCTTGATGTGGGATAATTTTTCCGCTAGCTTGTACCAAGTGTAGTGGTAATAAGTATTTTTTCTGCCTTTTTGACACACAAAGTGAGTTTGCACAGTATATTTTGCAAACCTTATGTGTGCTACGACTGTATAATACTACATCTTTTAGCACTGCATGCTGGTGACTGACAGAATTAGTTTCTTCATTTGCAGACAGCGTTGTGAGTGTGCTTGGCAAGTAGAAGCTCGTAGCTTGCCCGCCCACAGTCTAACAACGTACCTCAAAATTAAATCTCATCCCTCCATAACTATAGCCCTCTTTCACTACATCCATCTGTTATCCCACATCCATTCCTAATATCACATTCCTTCAGTCTAATTTATTTGTCCCTTCCAACCCTACCTTACTTCCCCTTGTCTACCTCACCGGCCACCCTTTTATCAGCCATTCAGCGTGGTATTCAATGCTTCAGATAGAAAGCAATTATCCAATGGTTTTCTATCTGAAGGCTCCAAAGGTCCATCAATACATTTCTATGGGTAGCATTTGATTGGACTGCAACCAGGAAGAAGATGACATGATGTGGTGACAAATAGAGCAGTTGAAACAATTTCCAAAAACTTGCCCCAGCACTGGATTCCAGGTAAGTTTTTTATTGCATTTTGAAAGATTACTTGCTCGAAAAACATAGGGGTGCCTTTAAGATATGGACAGAGTAAGACTATTATTATATAAAAAAAAAAAAAATAACTTTTCTCAAAACTAAGTGCATTAACTATTTAAAGCATTCCATAATGCAAAATTATGAAGTATTGCTGTAAGTCTTTCCATAGAACTAAAAACTACCCTAAAGAAGGACCAGGAGGAATTTTATCTGACATCCATAATCACAGTTTATGAGAACGAGAGTCTAGGACTGTACTGGTTATTTCTAAAATAGTTCTTTATATTTTGATAGTGAAAACAAAAAGTGTTTGTAATTAAATGCAAAAAAACAAACAAAAAAAGTCCACAACATTTCCAATGTAGCCGCTAAATTAAGAGCATTGCTCTTTTACTTGTGAATTAACATTGTGTTACCATGATTTCCAATTTGAAGGAGTCTTTTTTTCATGTAATGAACATCAACTGGCATAAAGCCAGTTCTTGAACAGCTTGCCGAATAAAATGTAAGTAATACGACTTATGGATCTTTAAAAACACAATAATTACAATGTATCTGTTCAAGAACTTTGCTTGGTTAGTTATATCATATAAGTGGCTATGAGATAGCTGTACTGCACAGCACAGCAGGTTAGCTTTAGTGCCTTAACAACGCATGATTACATTATTGCCATATGCCACCGTTCTACTGAAATATAAAGATCCTGCATTTCATGATTTATATTGTGAAGTCACATCTACATACTGGTGGCCATTATTATCTATTGCAGTGGTTCCCAACCTTTTCCACCTGAATATCCCTTAGCAGTCCACTTGCATAAATTGTACCGTCATAATAGCTAAGTGTTTTTTTATTAATATAGTTGCTGTTATCATGTATACGTTTTTCTCTGCCCCATCTCACCTTTTTCTCTGCCACAGGCTCTACTTGCTTCTCCTCTGTCCCAGACTCTCCCTGCTTCTCTTCTGTCTCAGGTTCTCCTGCTTCTCACAGTGCAGATTGACACACTGACACATATGCAGATACACAAAAACACACACTAACGCACATGCAGATACACAGATACACAGATACAAACACTGACAGAAACAGACACTGACACACATGCAGATGCACAGACACGGATACAAACACTGACATACATACAGATATATACACACAATATCACATAAGGACACAGATACAAACACTGACACCCATACAGTTGCACAGACATAATGACTGATACACTGGCACACATTCAGATGTACAGACACACAGATCCAAACAAGGACACACTCACACATATACAGATACACACACTGACACACATGCAGATACATAGATACACACACTCACTGACACACATGCAGATACATAGACACACTTGTACATTCAGAGACACAAAGATAAAAACACTGATACACATGTAGATGCACAGTTACACATACTAACACACATGCAGATACAAATACTGACACACATACAGTTACACAGATACACTGACACACTTACAGATGTACAGGCACACATCCAAACAATGGCACACTCACATATATACAGATACACATACTGACACTGATTTAGATCAAAGCAAACTTTAAATATTTGTCTATCTACTCGTTCCAAATTGATTAATTAATGCGTGCACGCTCTTCCTAGAAGTAATTCACACCGGAGACAAAGTTTCTGATTAGTGAAAAACCTGAGGAATGCTTTATTCCCCGGAGTGGGAGCCTCTTTTAAAGCAGAAATACGTCATGAACAGAGTCACAGTTAACATACAGCATACATTCAACAATTGGTTAACAGTCTAAGGGGTCTTGTCTAAACCCACCCTACAGGATGTAATGTCATCCTTACAGAGTTCTCCCACCCACATTCCAGCTCCATCTTGGTTACACGATGGGAGGGGGAGTGAGTAGTTACTGAACAGAGAGGGGCTAAAGGGGAAACAGTTACTTTAACAGCGATTCTCCATTTTGTTACACGTGGCACATAGCTGTTAGTTACACAAAGGAAGTGGGGGAGGAGTTAGTAAAGCAAGCTGGTTTTTTAACACAGGAATTTGTTACACGAAGCTTGCTCGATAGGAAGGGGGAGGGTAGCCGTTTGGGAGGAATTTACAGAGGAAATAGTTACTGAGCACACATGTACAGAGTAAAAAAGACATTTTATTCATAACAACACATATGCAGATAAGGGCAAGTATTGTCTTACCCTTGATTTTATTAAAGACATGGAGGCAGTAGTGATGTCCCGAACGGTTCGCTGGCGAATAGTTCCTGGCGAACATAGCGTGTTCGCGTTCGCCACGGACGGTGAACATATGCGATGTTCAGTCTGCCCCCTATTAATTTACTAATACTAAGTAAAAATTACTTAGTATTAGTAAATTGTGCCCCTACTTGCAATACCGCGAGTAGGGGCATGTCTATTAAACAGTGAGCAGCCTTTGGCCCGGTGGGGGCCCTAAATACTAATAGGGGGGGGACCTATTGTCCTCCGGCCCCCACCCCTGAGCGGTGGGTGGGGGCCCTAAAAATAACAATAAGGGGGGGACCTATTGTCCTCCCCCCGGCCCCCACCCCTGAGCGGTGGGTGGGGGCCCTAAAATTAACAATAAGGGGGGGACCTACTGTCCCACCCCTGAGCGGTGGGTGGGGGCCCTAAAATTAACAATAAGGGGGGGACCTACTGTCCCCCCCGGCCCCCACCCCTGAGCGGTGGGTGGGGGCCCTAAAATTAACAATAAGGGGGGACCTATTGTCCCCCCCGGCCCCCACCCCTGAGCGGTGGGTGGGGGCCCTAAAATTAACAATAAGGGGGGACCTATTGTCCCACCCGGCCCCCAGCCCTGAGCGGTGGGTGGGGGCCCTAAAATTAACAATAAGGGGGGGACCTATTGTCCCCCCTGGCCCCCACCCCTGAGCGGTGGGTGGGGGCCCTAAATACAAAGGGGGGGACAAAACAAAAAAACGAGCGCACAAAAAAATAATCCATCTTCACCCATGGAGGGCTCCGCGCAGACTGAGCTCTGCAAGTTGGGGGAAGGCATATAAAGCCTTGCCACGCCCTGCAATTAGGGCGCTCTATAAGCCTTCCCCCACCCTGCAGAGCTCAGTCTGCGCGGAGCCCTCCATGGGTGAAGATGGATTATTTTTTTGTGCGCTCGTTTTTTGTTTTGTTTTTTTTAATTGCGTCGGTTCTTATGGCTTTTTATTTGGCCTTTTTTGGGGCTGAAAAAAGAAGATTGTAGAAGAAAGAAAACATCAAATGGTAAGTTATTTTTATCTAATTTTTTTTTTACAGGTTTTTAGTTAAAGGTCCTCCCCTCATTATTTTTAGGGTGAGGGGGGTAGGTAGGTAGATCATTTTTTTTGGGGGGGAGGGGTGACTAGGGCCCCCACCCACTGCTCAGGGGTGGGGGCCAGGGGGGACAATAGGTCCCCCCCTTATTGTTAATTTTAGGGCCCCCACCCACCGCTCAGGGGTGGGGACCAGGGGGGGACACAATAGGTCCCCCCCTTATTGTTAATTTTAGGGCCCCCACCCACCGCTCAGGGGTGGGGGCCGGGGGGGGGACAATAGGTCCCTCCTTATTGTTAATTTTAGGACCCCCACCCACCGCTCAGGGGTGGGGGCCGGGGGGGACAGCAATAGGTCCCCCCCTTATTGTTAATTTTAGGGCCCCCACCCACCGCTGAGGGGTGGGGGCCGGAGAGGGGGAGGACTGTAGTTATTATTATCATTAGTAGTTATCATTATCTTTATGGCCCCCACCCGCCAGAAAGAGTCCCTGTGGGTTTTAAAATTCGCCTGCCTATTGAAGTCTATGGCGGTTCGCCGGGTTCGCGAACATTTGAGGAAGTTCGCGTTCGCGGTTGGCGAACCGAAAATTTCATGTTCGCGACATCACTACTCAGCAGCAAAGATAAAGGAATATAAATATCAAAATGAAAGAAAAAACTGTATAGGCACACAGGCAATCAATCACATAACAGAGGAAGTGACTATAAAAGGCCTGTGTCTCCCACAATCCCCCTCTTTCTTTGCTGCTCCCTCAGACCAGCTAAGTATTTTGCTCTCTTCATGTGGATTGTTTTTTTGCTAATTTTGCTATGATTAATAATTAGATCTATTTATTTGTTGTATTTTATTGTGCTCTGTTTATTACTGTGTGGTATACCTAGTTGGCGTCCCCTAGTTCTTTGTCCGGGTTCCCTCTGAGGGGGTTCTCTACCCCTTGCTTCTCTGTGGCTGCTCCTGCCCCTTCTCGCTATACTTGGGTTCTGGCCGCGAGCG